TGCTGCCACATGTATTAATATTATTATTATTATTATTATTTTCAACATTGAAGATCATTTGCCACTAGTCGACAATTCTTTGCTGTCCTACTGCCTCGGATAATTTGTAAATTGTTTTTTTTTTTTTTTTTTGAAACTGTGAATTTATTTTGTTGTTTCTATGTTTGCAACTCCTGCCGAGTTTGTTTTATACACGTGAGCTGTAGCGTTTCTTTTTTTGTTGTTAATATTTTCTAACACATGCGATGTATCTGATATATCTTCATGTTGGTGAAAGGAAAATCATCGTCTGAGTCATTGTGAACACATGAACTCAATCATTGTATGTGTCACTGCTAGTTATTCTTCCGTATGTGAAGCATCTTGACTTTTTCGTATTTTTTACATGGGGATTATGTTTGGTGTAAAATAAAACTGACTTTATGTACCAGATGTGTGAAACAAAAACTCATGCAGATGAACATTAAACCTCACAAAATCTACACGTTGTTCTTTCTTTCTTTCTTTCTTTCTTTTTTTTAATACACTTGTTCTTAATTTTTATTTCCTTTTTTTCTTTAATTTTTTTTCTTTTGTTTAATTTCCTTGGTTCTTTCTGTATCTTAGCTATTTTAATTGTGTTTAATGTCTCAAGAATGTTTACATTTGCAAATTTGTGTATAGGACATTAGAGAAAATGTATTTATCACAAACTGTTGAATTTACTGAATCATTAAAACAACATACAGGTGAAACTAAATAAATACACTGAGGTTAGGACGTTAGGTTAGGACGATTCTAAGGATATAATTAACCCCAAGAGATATAATTAGGGGCCCAATATTTCAGTGACTGCTGTTAGTTTCATTTACTGTAGTTTTAATTTTTCAATTAATTGTATTTTTTTATTATTATTTCAGTTAACAAAAACGTTTTTGAAAAATAGATTTCGTCATATAGTTTTTGTCTTGTTTACTAACATAATTTTGTTCAGAGCTAGTTATTATTTAGTTGTTTATGTTACTCAGGTCATGTATCATCTTCTAGAAGAAATGACCAAATTTAATTGTCCTAAAGGGACGATTCTGCTTAGGGACAGTTTTGAGAACAGTTCTGTTAATTAGCCTGCTTAAGATCCTGCTTGTTTTTGAACCTTTATGAGTTTCCTCCTTCTATTGAACACAAATGAAGAATTTTAGAAAAATGCTGAAAACCTGCAACCACTGAGTTCCATAGTTTTTGTTTTTCCTATTATAGAACTCAATGGTTTTATGGTTGCTTCAAAAATATCTGCTTTTGTGTTCAACAGAGCGAGGCAGAGGCGCAGTAAGTAGTGCTGTCGCCTCTCAGCAAGAAGGTCGCTGGGTCGCTGGTTCGAACCTCGGCTCAGTTGGCGTTTCTGTGTGGAGTTTGCATGTTCTCCTTGCCTTTGCGTGGGTTTCCTCCGGGTTTGGACCTCCGCGTTTGGACCGGGTTTGGACTGTGTTTCCCCCACAATCCAAAGACATGCGGTACAGGTGAATTAAGGCTGATTTATACTTCTGCGTCAAACGCCGGCGTATGCTACGGCGCTGACGCATAGCCCTTCGCCATGGCCGTCGCCGTCACTGATGTGCACCTCTCAAAAAATGTAACTACACGTCGCAACGACGCGTAGCGTAAGCTCTGTGATTGGTCGGCTTGGTATCGCTGAAGAGTCTGGGCGGGACCGAGAGCCGCACGAATGGCGCGAGCGATTGTTTACAAGTGTGGAGTACCGTGAAGGAGCTCCGGATGGAAAGTTTTGTTTTGTGTTTACCTCATAGTTAAAGTTGTTGCACGTCCGCCGGTTCCTGCCTCAAAATGAGCGAGTTTGAGCCACTTGTACATCCCGGAAGTGTTCAGGAAAAGCAAAACAACAGCAAAGAAACTCGACAAAGAGGAACATTTACACCTCACTGCCAACTAGCGTTTCGGAAGTGTTAATGCAGACCAACAGAGACAGCACGCAGAAGTATAAATGCACAGCAACGCGCGTTGCATGCGCTGTGGGTTACGCCGGTCACCTGACGCAGAAGTATAAATCAGGCTTTAGGTAGGCTAAATTGTCCATAGTGTGTGAGTGTGTGAATGTGTGTGTGGATGTTTCCCAGAGATGGGTTGCAGCTGGAAGGGCATCCGCTGCATAAAAACTTGCTGGATAAGTTGGCGGTTCATTCCGCTGTGGTGACCCCGGATTAATAAAGGGACTAAGCCAACAAGAAAATGAATGAATGAATGTGTTCAACAGAAGACAGAAGACAGAAACTCAAAAAGTAAAAGATGAGCAAATAGAGAGTACATTTAAAGTTGCTGCTGTTCTTCAGTATTCTGATCACAGATGGTACATTGAAGATTGCTTTGTTATAACCTGTAGCAGATGTACTTGCAAATATTTTGTACTGGAGAACATCATTCAGGTTTTATAGCTCGCAAGGCATTCATTCTCATTTGATTGGAAAGGCAGGATGATTTTCTCAGTGACTGTGATGTGCCATTAAATCCATCACAAAGCTGTTTTATTCCCTGTGTCCACTAGAGCGGCAGGCCCTGCCAGACATTTTCTCTGTCTGATTGGGCATTTGGTGGTTGTGGTAAAATCCCACACTCTCAAATTGTTTCGCGTCCCAAATGGCCTGTCCTGGTATGGCTGTTTTTGACAGCTGACAGTTGTTTTTCATGCATACTGATCCAAAATATTCATTTGGACTTTGTTGTGCTGGAAGCTTTTTGATTGACTAAACCAACTGTAACATAATCAACCAGTGAAATAAAAAAAGAAGTAAAAATCCCAATATTGGAGATGAGATGATGATGATGCCACCACTATGTTATCAGTATTGGAGTTTTGTTGAAGAAATTGAAACTTTAAAAAATGTACTCGACCTCAGTCATGTTGTTGCAAACCTATAGGGGAGAGCGGGGCACAAAATAACACTTTTTGGTTTTGGCCAAATAATGAACAAAGTAATGGGGTTAGACAAGCCATATATATTTTTACCAACAACACATAAGCCTCTCCTACACTGAAATTAGCACTGAAAGTATGATCGCTGGACCTATGGTTTCTGAGCAGTATTGCCAAAAGTACCCTACTTCCGGAGCAAGTTGTAACATACAGAGGTTTAGTTGTAACACATACTTAAAAAGGGAGATTTTACACAATTAATTTAAACTCAGTTTACTTTAAATAGTAGCTATATTTTCAAAATATTCAGAGCAATTTATTTTTTATTCTACATTGCACAGCATGCTTATATTTATATATATATATATATATATATATATATATATATATATATATATATATATATATATATATATATATATATATATATATATGTATATATATATATATATATATATTTATTTATTTATTTGTTTATTTATTTATTTATTTATTTATCTATTGAATAAACCCCTTTGGATTCATTTGTATTATATTATTGTACAATGCATTTATTTGCATTATTAGCAATAATATATATATATTATTAAAAATATTTTCTGTTAAAAAATTATATATATATATATATATATATATATATATATATATATTTTTTTATTTTTTATTTTTTTTTTTTTTTAAGTTCCCAACATTACACTTAAAATTCAATTCATATTTTCTTGGTTTAATTGGTGGCCAACATTGTGTGGCTAACTTTTAAGACCCTGTTACAACTAACCCCGCTGTGTCGTGTTTTCTGGCTAGCAGTCACTATGTGTGGTTTACAACTTTTAAAATGGTTCCCATCTTTTAGCCTTGAAGACGGTAATCACAACAATATAAGATTTTGCTTACATACTTTCACAGATTTTTTAAAAATAAAAAAAATATTGAAAATAATAAAAAATACTTTTATGCTGCAAATATGGTTTCACCTGTGTTTCACATCCAAATTTTGCCGAACTTTTTCAATAAATGTCTGGAAGACATTTGCGGTGAAAACCTTGGAAGCATGCCATGGTTAACCCTGAGTAAATACCTTAAAACTCCAGGTTATTTACTTTGTGCCCCACGCTTCCCTATGACTGAACTTCATTATACATGACCTAGATTTTCTCTGTCATCATTTATACTCACCCTTGCTTTTAAACCTTCACACGTTTCCTTCTCCTGTTGAGCACAAAACAAGATATTAATAAAAAGCTGAAAATCTGTAACCATTGACTTCCATATAAGTCCTTTGACATTTATTGCATGGAAAAGAATAGTTTCAATATTTCTAAATAATGTATTAATTTTCTGATTTTTTTTTAAATAATGAAAAAATATATATAATTCTAAATGCGTTTTTCAACGTATAATTATGTTCTATGTATCAAATTAATTATAAATTATAAAGATATATCCAACTTTACCTCTATATGTGAGTTCACATACCCTGCAGTTCGCTGACAGAATGCAGTTGTTTTGCTTGTTGATGATTGCAGGCCTTGTACAGTTTCGTCTTCTTTTCTTGTCTTGGCAGAACCTCGGTTTTTAGCACTAAATAGTGTTGAATCTGATAATCATCGAAAATTATTTCTTGCACATGACCACCCAGAACAACATTGGCATTCAAAGACTTGTAGACCTTTAACTTCTCTCTTGTAAAATCACTTGGAGTTTCAATGAGATTGTAAATTTCGGGCTGGATGCTCGGTCATTTTGTCTTATCCAATATTCTTTGGGAAGGTGCTATCGCAAATGGTCCTGTCAGATGAACGCCGCTCACTTTAACGTTAATTTTGCCGAATCACTGTGCTTATCACTGAGTGACAAGCTGTCATAACACGCTGAAAGCATTATGTAAATAATATATAAGTGAATATGTTATCAATATAACTTATTTCTAAGACAACAACAAGTACCGCATGGGATGTCATTCCCTCGCTGTAAATGCTAGTGCTCCCGGTTTTTTTTCTGCCTCCTCGCTGCGCGCGCATCCTGAATGTTTACAAACATGGTAATTCGTGTGTGCAAAAACCATGTGATCATCGTCAATACGTACTATGATACGTGCGAAGTATCCAACTTCACGTGTTTGTAACTGCTCCACAACAGTCCAGCCGCGGCCGTCGAAGCACACTTAATGCTGGCAGCATACAGTCTATGCAAAGTACGCGTGAACCACACTTCCTCTGCTTTATCCTGCTGTTGGTTTACCGCGAAACAACGATGAAACAACATCATAAGGTATGTTGGGAAATAAGCTAAACTTGACATGAATATCATCTCTCATGTTCTCTCCCTCAGTCACATTTCAACCGCAAAAAGACGCTAATGACAGTCTAAGGTGTCAACAGAATGCCAAGTAACGTTATCCCTATGGAGTTATCCCAAACCAAAACAAAACGAAACATAACTGAAACTGATTATTGTCGTGAAACCATGCTAATCACAAATCAGTCATGGTTTGATAAACTTCAACCATGGTATTTTCATATACCTCTATATTTGGCATCATGCCAAAAAAGTTACCTACTTTTCCTTAATAAAACGGTTTATCACAGGTAAACAATTATATGTTAGTCTACATACTAATGCATGAATACTACATATTCTGCTCTCTTTTTATATTAAATGTTTGAAATACTGTGTTTAATTGATGTGTTTGTTTATTTGAATTAAAGTAGAAAAGCAGAAACATAATTAAAGGCTATAATTACAATGTTGATATAAAAACTGACTTTTGTGCAACATGTTTATGCACATCTTTAAATTTAAGGGGGGAAACACACACACACACACACACACACACACACACACACACACACACACACACACACACATATATATATATATATATATATATATATATATATATATGAAAAATTTTAGCATTGTGGATGTGACATTTGCAGTAAAAATTCAAAACATAAATTAACACTTATTAACATTATATTGAAATATCTGTTTATATTTTCCAAAAGAACTGAGCACAGGTTTATGGGATCAGAAAAAGATCAATCTGTAAGCATGTTTTGTACTTTAAATGAGGAAAATAAACATGTTATGGATGTGACCAAAAAAAGTATGCAAGTTTGCAGTACACAAAATACTTTGTAGAAATTATGTGAATTAAACTGCTCAAACCAAACAAAATAATGGTAATCTAAATGATAATAGTTGACTCACTATAGAACAAACATGATTGATCTCATTTTATTTTTTTTAATATTTGCATTCATGACAAAAAAGTGTTGTTATGGATGTGACACTTTTCTTTTATGGATGTGATATATATATATATATATATAAATATATATATATATATATATATATATATATATATATATTTTTTTTTTTATATATATATATATATATATATATATATATATATATATATATATATATATATATATATATATATATATATATATATTTATTCATTTATTTATTTTTAATTTACTCTGTTTAATCGCCCTGGCACATCAAAGATAATGATGCCTTAGTTAACCATTAAACTTAGTCATAGTAACAATCCATCATGTTCAAAACACTTTATACATCAGTTAGTAAACCTAAAGCAAAGTGTCAGTTTATCAATAAGATCTTCCAAAGTTACAGAAACTTTTCAAAACACCTCACACTACTTATGATTGTGGCATTATTATGGGGACTGCTCAAGAAGGCACAGCAACAATCACGTCAACAAAATTGATAATGACACCACAGTAATTTGCCTAATCTAGAACAATAAAAACTGTGTACAGAGAACAGGTGGCAGATTTGACAGTGTAGCGTGGGCTAAGAACAACCTGACCGTGAACAACAACAAAATATCGCAGACTTCAGGAGACATGGATAAGTCTTAGCTAAATATGACACCAAAACTACACTACCTGACAAATGTCTTCTCTTCGATCCCAGTTGTAAGAGCAACAATTAATAACTTGACTTCTAGTTGATCATTTGGAAAAGTGGCAAAAGGTTACTTTTAACGCCTTGTGACTAAACTAAGTGTGATTCGATGATTCGATATCAGACGGTTATCAAATTTTAATAACGTCCATTTCCCATAAACATTTGAGCACTGTGGAGCACATTCTCTAAACAGCGCTGATTTGCCAATGTGTTAACGGCCTCAAAAACTGATTGGCCGTAATGGTCAACAGTTCACCAATCTTACCTCTGTTTACTGAGTCTCCACTAATCAGATTGTCCCTTTTGTTCATGTACCCAGGGCTGCTGAAGTTACAATAAACACCACTTGGAGGCGTTCAAGCTCAAAACAGTCGAGGGGATCACTTTTCACGTTTCACTTTCATTCAATGAAGAAGATGATGCACCGAGGCAAGATGAAGGTGTTTTTCATTGGTGTCTGAGCGAAAAGAGCAGCAGCAACTACAATAACATCAGTAGAAGTGGCAAGTAGGATTTGAAGGTGAGTTTCATTTAACTTTTTCTTCATAATTTGCAAGTTCATTAAGCACCATTTAATGCAGGGCTAATTTTGTGCATTCACTCTGCTCAACGCTGATGAAAATCATCTGGGTTTGAAGGCAGAACAAAGATTTCAAAAAATGTATGATACATGTGAGCGAGTTGTCCCAATGTGTACAAGCCTTTAGAAGTTAAAAAGGGGTTCAATTGATTCTATAAAATCATATTGTTGTTATGTAAAATACAAATAAAACAAACACCCAATCTCATTAACAAATGTTGTGGCCAATAAAACGCTGCCGGAAAAATTCACTGTTACTACTATTGTTGGTGATAACGCTAAATGTATAAAGTTTATATATTTAAATGTATATTTAGTCTCATTTTCAATAAATGATTCAGTTATTATTCAATTATAAAACTTCATGTTTCATTGCTAGATGTGTCATTTTTGAAGAATTATTCTGTGGCATATTTTTGATGGCTGTTTGTCGCCACCTATTGGTTAAATAATAAAAGTGCTGCCTACAACTGTCATTTTTGAGCGTTGTTAAATGCACATGTCGGTAATTTGAATCCTTACCATAAACGTTAGTGGTTTTATCTAAACTATAAACTGTTAACCTAGTACTTCTGTGTTATTTAAATGTTTGTAACTTCATAACTAACTTGAAAAACTAAAGACTGAATCTCTCAGGATTAATAAACATAAGCAAATCACCAGCATTTATAATTTTATGTTGCGTGGGTGTTGAGATCCCGATCTTTCAATGATTAATCTTGCTCCTTACACTGAATGCATTAATGCAGGCTAAACAAGTGACAGAAAACACCTTCAACACCATAAGAAACCCACCCCATCCTGAATAACCAACCACAACTTCTTCTGTCATCATTATATTTTACAGGAAAGCCTAAATGCTTTCATACACGTGATTTGAATGACGCAAGAGGTGATCATAACAAATTTAAGATTATCCTACAAGTAAAAAAATAAAAATAAAAAATCCACGGGTCACATGTGTTCCGAACCATGGGTTGTGATCTCTACAAGGATCAACCGTAATTGTTTCACCCCTAATTGTCAGTCAGTGCTTGTTCTGGTTGGCCTGTTTTTCACTGGCATTTTACACTCACAGGATTTATATAATAATAAGGAAACAATGGCGTTTGAGTCTCATAGTATGCCATTTCCATGTACTCAACTCTTCATTCAGCTATATCCATATTTTCATTCTATTGCACATTTAATATGCTGATCCTGTTTTTTTCCTCTCTCATTCATAAGTGTCATCTTTAAGCAGTTGTGTGTGCGAGAAGCTGTCAAAGCAACCCATCAAAATACTGCTCTTATATTATCAGGGATGTGATTCTTCTGTATAGATACTTATTTCCTTATTTTCCGGGCTCAATAGGCTGATCCCTGTAATTTGCTTAGATCCAAAGTTTTTTTGAGAGAGGAGGGTCTCTTCATCGTCATCAAAGCAGATGACCTACTTCATTTATTCTTTCAGGCATGTAATTGTAGACCTACCCAGGCCACTCTGTACATAATAATGATATTGTGCAGTCCTATAATGTAATGAAGCCGCTGACAATATGCAAGATTATGAAATCGCTTTGAATGTGTGTGCATGGCTGTGCACTTTTTCTACTCTCACATTTGCATGTCACGACCACGTGCGCTCTGTTTATTATAAATACAGCCGTAGGACGCACATTTTTTATTCTCTGCAAGTCATCTGTCCTTATGTCTTCATTTATTCAGTGCTACAGCCTAGCACCTCAAATTTGATGCAAGAAAGTATCATAAGTTTAGAAGATATTACAAATTTATAAAAATATATAATAATTTTATAATTAATTAAAACTTAAAAACAATGTCTAGACCAAAGAAAGAGAAATTGAAGGGTGGTATGTTAAAGTATATTAGGCTATACTCAATTCAGCTGGACTTAATATTTTTACAGTTTGAATTGTCTGCTGACTAGTAGTTTATTTATCATGTTGGAATAAAGAGTCGACTAAATTACAGGCAAAGTGAGAGGTGTCTGGATGCAGACCTGGGGCAGTGCAATCTGAGCTGCATCCAATGCTTTTTAATGCGCTCACATAAACCCACCCCTAACCCTACCCGTCACAGTGACGTCATTCACTCCATTGAGTGCATTGTGTCTGACTGCATCGCTGAGTGATGCAACCTCAGCTTGCATCATAAAGGCTGCATCCAGATACTATTGGGGAAAGTTATATTCTGTGGACCTGAGAACTAACCGATTTAGTTGCGCCATCTAGTGGCGGTGTGTGTGTGGATCTGTCGCGACATTGAGGTACAAAGTATAAACCTATTATATATTACTCCTAAACTATACTTCTAAAAATATCACTATTAAACTGATAACATTTAAGCTGATAAAACAATAAATGAAACTTAAATTGTGTTTCCGATAACAAATGTTTATAAAGAATATTTATATGTTTATTTTTTTTAGATTTTTTTTTTGTATTTAAAAACACACAGGCATACATGCATGTTTACAGTTAGGGCCATAAATATTTGGACATCATTTGGACATCACATCACAACATTTTTGGCTCTATACACTAAGACAATCGATTTAAATTGAAACTAACAAGATGTGCTTTAGCCGCGCAGTGTTAGCTTGAATTTGAGGGTATTCACATCCAAATCAGGTAAACTGTGTAGGAATAACAGCAGTTTGCATATGTGCCTCACACTTGTTAAGTCTTTTTGGTCTTTTATGGATGTTTAAATGCATTCAGCAACTTGAGGGTTTGATTTAAATGCATTTTTCACTTGGAATCTGATTTATGAAAGTGCACTCTCCTAGGTGTAAATGGGGTTATTTGTTTTGTACTGCTGGCTTGACTTTCGGACAAGACTGAGCCCTGAAACTCAGGACTATACATTTGGCAATAAAACATTAATTCTACAGACCTGGGAGTAGAGATCACAAAGCAAAAGCAGAGAAAGATATTTGCCTAATCTTCTTTAGCCCTCTTTCCATCTTCCTCTTTTCTTTCATCAGACTCGGGTCACTAAAAGTTTATTCATAGTGCCAAAAGTTCACTTGTATAAAGCTTCATGTATAAATCACGTATATTGCAACTTCTGAATTCATTGTTTTCTCTCTTTCATGTAGATCTCTCTGCAACTGGTCAAATGTTCTCTGTTTCATATAAAAGGACTGACCATAATGAAGATTTAAGGGCTGTGGCCCTTTCAGAGACTCTGATAAGAAAAAGACATTCTTCTCCCAGATAAGACGATTCCTGAGTTTCAGGATCTGGCCAAGCAAATTCCATATTAATGCTTGTAATTTGTGATTCATCATTTTGATCTGGAAAAATCACAAAATAATCATTAGATTGAAGTTGTTTCGAGCTAAAATAGTTATGTGTGAATTATTATGGGTTATTTTTATCCTGTAGCCAGTCAGTTTTTAATTTATCAAATTACACCTTGCTAAATTTCTTGACTAAAACCATAGCAACAGATTACACAGTATTTTTTTAATGTTATGATTGTCACTGTCTTAAATTATGCAAATTAGAACTTCTAAATTATTATTGTCTGAGCAATTGTCATCTTTTAAACAAAATAAAGGACTAAATGACAGTAATTTTATTTTACATTTAGAGAGAAATGTTTTCAGCCCTTTATAAAGTGAAATTAAAATTTGCATTTTACTCAAAATTAAAAAAAGTTAATAAAATGGTCTTATTTTTTTTATATACCTTTATATAATTTATAGCAGCGGTTCTCAAACTTTTTTCACCAAATACCACCTCAGAAAAAATTTGTCTCACCGAGTACCACCATAATAACCAGTATTGAAGTACAGTAGCTTAGTAGGCGTAATTAAGTAGCTACAGTTCTGCGCAGTTCAAAAACGAGACAGATTAATTCTAATGTTAGGAATTTTTATTATTGTCACCCACTTTAAACATTATAAATAGCTTAACCATTAACACTGCACTGCTTACAGGTAAAAAAACAAAAACAAAAAAAACATTTAAATTAAAATGTGCTTTCAAAAGTTAATTAAAAATGCCACTGCTCTTAAAAAGTAAAAGAAGACTGCTGTACTTAAATGTAAAGTATTATCATATAATAGCCTATCAAAACCTGGAAACGTTCCCTGGACCTCGTATGTCATCATATTCATGTGTAATCTTTTTTATGAATTTTAAAATATACAAATAATTCCTATATACTGTACATGCAACTCAAATATTTAAAATCTAAACATTAATTTGTATTTTAAATATATGAATTGGATTCACATAATTAGAAATTTGGGCTCTCTAACTCAAGCTCTCTAGCTCCACCAATTGGCAACAATCAAAATTCTTTTTTCCTCTGATTCCTTGGCACAAGCTGAATCAAACGTCATGAAATTCATACATGAACTCATCCTAGGCCATCCTTTCACCAAAATTAAATCATATGATGTACAGACCATGCTGACCAAATGTTATTGAATTCTAGTTGATTAGTCCAACAGTTTTTAATTAACTTTCAAACAAATTTAACGTAGAAGTTGTGAAAACGGACTTGAGACAATATCTTCAAAACACATTGATGTATTCACACCAAACTTTATTTATTTATTTGAATCTCTGACTCCGGCTCTTCTTCATCTGATAGGCTGGTCATTCTTTGGGTTAAAACTGTCAATTATCCACGACCTTCTGGGTAAAATTCTGGGTAAAATTGACAAACAATTCAATTCTGTCAATAGAAGTCATACATTATTCATTAAATCATTTATGTTTTGACTCAGAATATACTGACAAAAAGTTATAGAATTTTTCTGTTGCTCTGTAGCTTGTTGCCGTGCTTGGTTATGATGTGGCCACTGGGCTGCTTTGCCCCGATAACTGCTGCTTGCAGCTATATTTATTATTATTATTATTATTATTATTATTGTTGTTGTTGTTGTTGTTGTTGTTGTTATTATTAATATTATTATTATTA